TAAAAGGCTGAATATCAGCTCAAAAACCGAAGGTAAAAAACTGTGCTCAATGAAACCAATATCAATCTGAGATACGAGGAGTATTGAACAAATTCAAAAACTGAGGATTCTGGTAGAAACAGCACATTGACTAAAAGAAGCTTCTCATGATCAACGCAGTTTTCTTACAAGAGATGAAACCTTTAAAATGCAAGAGGAATTTCAAGTTCATATTCAGTCTAGATCTACATCATATCGGCGTGAAAAACTGTGGTCTATCTTCTGAGTTAGTGAATCCTCTACACAGGTCGCAAAAGGCTATGGAAACCAATTTAATCGAAAAATCCCTTCTTAGGCGTAACACAACCCTTCAACCTGTTTGACTTCGTAACGGTCGAAAATAGATCGTAAGAGTAAGGATTAGGAAAACATTAAGAAAATAGAAAAAAAATCAAACGAAAATACCTCGACAAGACCGTGAAGATATCGCGTAAACCTGTACAAAACGGAAAGGTTAAGTGGACCGAAATCGCCATAGAAGGGCTCATAATGCACCTGAACTCATATGTAGTTTCGACTCACTCAACCAAAAAAAAACTATTTTTTTTTCTTCTTAGGATTACCATTCTACTTACCTACATCTGTCACAAATCAAAGGAAAACTAACACGGTTGTCCAGATCGATATAGCGAACATGTGGATCAGCTTTGTGAGGAGGTACTTTGAATGATGCGAAATAAAGCTGTTTTGGAAGCAGTTCGACGACGTTTCCGCACAGTGAACCGCTTAGAACGATGTCGGAATTGGCCACCATGCCGCTCGCAGTTCATATACCAACTTCCGTTAAGCAGCACATCTATAACAATCGCATGGAACAATTCAAACTGAAAGCTCATATACAATAAACTATCTAGTAAGAACGATAGTTATTCCATATTAAACCCTAGAAAGAACAAAACGCATGGGAAAGAACATGAAGATTAAGTGAGCAATCGGCTTTAACAAATAGTAAAGCAAGAAAAACCAAGAGGTATGGCACAAAAAACTGATATTCATGGGACACTGGCAGGTGCTCTCTTCCCAAGAAAGTCCTTTAGGGCATGTAAGTCAGAAAAACGGGAAAGTGCATTCAAATGACACGTGGCTGCTGGGTTGCCTAGTAATGCGCAAAGCCACCATAGGTGAGTACACACATCTATAAGTGGACTGCTTAATTGTTGACTAAATGTCAGGCTTCTATGAACTCTCACTATGTGTTAAACAAAGGTTGGAAATCTGTTGTGCTGCCGATCAATAACTAAACAAATGTTTCGGCTGTCACCTTCTTCGATGCTTCCAAAGTAGAAAAACAACAGCAAGCTTAATGATTCCGTCGAAACAGATCAGCTAACTATGAGGAAAGAGAATATGCATTGGGGAAAGATTTCGAAGAAAAACCAACCTACACAAATCCCAAATAGCAGTACCGGGTGCTCATGTTCTTAGGGAGGACATTCAAACAGGGCATTCAAAAACTTGGTAGGTGATAAAGGATAAAGGATAAAGCATTTGCCGTTGATCAATCCCTTTTGGGATGCGGCACGCATTCTACTTCCATTTGTACATTCGTAGTGGCGTTTGAATGCGATGTGGCCTATACAATGACTTGCGGGGGCCAGCCGATGTACAAGTCAGTGTTTTTATCCTCCCAGACAAGTCTGGTACCAATTAACCGACCCCGGAGGGATGGAAGGCTTGGTTGGCCCGGGCGACTCACGACCCAGGATTTGATCCCCGGACCGCTCGCGTGGTGAGCGTGCCACTTGCCACTACACCACTTCCGCCCTGCATACTAGGACTAAGCCCAGGAAGGAAACAGACTCTAAGAGCTGGGGACAAGAACGAATGTCCATACTCTCTCCCAGAATCCTTTCCCTACCGAAGGCCTAGTCCCGAGTTCTACTCCCCACTTTCAAAATATGGTTCACATAGCAATATTGAAAATTTCATAGTAACACTGCACATATCAAATGTGGAGATCATTAATTGATCACTCGCACAATTCCGGCGTGTGCTACGAATACACATCGGCTCCCCCCACTTTCTTCACGATTTGGGGCGCGGCCGCGGCGAGCGCGGACGAGTCGATAGTGCCCGCGAACTGTGGTGGTGATGCGTTTTCAAATTTACCCACACAGTTCGCGGGCACTATCGACTCGGCCGCGCTTTGCCGCGGCCGCGCCCCAAATCGTGAAGAAAGTGGGGGAGCCCCACATTAGCCTAAAGTTGTACGAATGTGGTCATAATCTGCTTTGTAAAAACTTAAACCATACCAGAGTTAACAATATGATATTCTTTACCAAAAAGGGTAACCCTAAAGCTATCTAGCTCTCAGAAACTCCCATTTGCATTCCTGGCTTTGAATTGTAAATGTTGGGTATCTGTAACAGTTCCGGTTCGATTAAGGAGCGAAAATTTATGTAAAGCTCATGCGAGTGGCGGTCAGCCAATTTCGGCTCAATGTCCTTCGAAGACATGAAACCAACCGCATCGCACAACATTTGTTCATTTTTTGCTTAAATTTTAAGCCGGCGACCTAGATATGCACAAGTACTAATTGACCATATGCATGCACCTAGTGCTTGAGTCTGAGAAAGAGAGAACTCTGAGAACACTCCTCGCTCTACTTCAGGCCTTCGAGCTCTTCTATTTCTAGCCCCAGCAAAAATCTCATCCCCTAAACGGACAATCTCCATTTCCTTCCCTTGACACAATGCCGATTTCAGATAGGGGCTGGTGGCTCTTTGGCGCGCTCCCTAAATCTCGCTTAACAGGTTTACAAATGTCCCAGAGGCAGTTTTATCCTAATTTTTCGATTACGACTTACACAAACATAGTGCAGATTGACTTATATTACATTCATTTCAAAAGGGAACTGAATGTTTGGAAGGGGAACTCGGATTTCAAAGGGATGGAGGGTGAACGCTCGAAAAGTTCATATGTGCAATGGAATTTTTGAAACAATTCAACCTCTGCTTGCGTCTGAAGAGCACCATGAAATATGATACGCTCTGTACCAGTATTAAGTTTGTCTAAGATGGTCAGAAACCCAGTTAAAATGCTGCAATCTAACTCCACTCCACATGCAATTTCTGTGAATTGTCCTAATATAACACTATTTTAACCATGGCTATATCATAATAATAATAGATCTCTTGCTATGAGTACTTAAAGACTAACCTCTAGAAATCATGAAAAATAACAGACGTACTTACTTCTCCTGAAAGCTCTCTCGAAAATGTTCTCTCCACGATGGGCCCTAACTATGTGTCGGTAACCGACCGTGCCTTCTATGCGTTTTAGATTACAATTGGCAGATTCTTGCTCTCCAATTCTAATGTTGGGCTACGTGGCTAGAGATTGCACTACGTTTTGATGAGAAGGTCAATAATCACCTAAACTATCGGAGATCTACCCGACACTAAACCTTGGCGACGTTCTCACCTCTCACACTAATCCTACGTAAATCTTATCAATACATTCACCCACTTTTTGCCTCATTAATAGAATAGGATTTTACAACGATAGATCCTAATTGCACCTAACACATTAAAGAACAACCACAAAGCTCCAGTATGGCAATCGTGTAACGAATTCAATAGCAAACACTTCAATTCTGAACAAGCAAAACCCCAATAACGTCGATACAAACACACGAACAGAAAAAGAAAATCCCAATAAACTGGGAACCAAACCCCGGCGTCATCGTCGCTTGCAAGCAGGTACGGACGCTTGCTGTAAACTTGGCGATAACCATTCGAATGATTGCAGATGGAGCAAGCGATTCGCATTGAAGCATGCTATTTGTCGCACGCTTACCTTTTCTCTTGATTTTCCTTCTATTTCTGTTACCACTCACACGATTCAGAATATTTCACGCCTTTTTGTTGACAGAAATATTTATATCATAAAGAGCAGGCCAAAAAAATCTTCAGTTGCAGACATCTGGTCGGAACATCTGTGAACAATTGGGGATTCGCTTGCACACGCTTAATCGCCCGAATCAAGCGGAGAGAACCAAATGCTTCGTATTTCTGCATCTTGGGACATTTTGAAAGCTAAACTGTGAAGGTACGTAAGAGTAGAACTGAAATCGAGTAGAAAATTAGACACCGCGCCGTGCAGCAGCAGAAGATTCAGTCAACATCACAGTTATTACCACTGCGCAACTATTACAAATACTTTACAACTAGAAAGGGGAGTTTCCCTACATTCCTTCATTCAACCTTTGATGCCAGCGCCATCATATATTACACTTATCGGAGAGGAAATGTGCGCATATGCTAACCGATTGTAGCGAATCACGCTCCTTTGCATGACCTTACCCATAACCTGTTCCCGTGACAAACAAAATTCAACTGGTTTTGTTCACCGGAAGTTCAAAAGGTCTTTTCGGCAGTCACTGATTGGCGATAAGGCGACCAGTTCTCATTGCTATACCTTCGTGAATATCGCCTGTCAGAGGAACTTCCCATCCATGAGGTTTTTATGAGAAAAGGTTTTCTTTCGGGTTTTTATGAGAAACAAATTTCTACATGGCTCAACGCTGCTAGAAAAGTCCTCTTCAATTTATTCTATCTCACAGGTCAATCATAACGATGAAAAACTAATGAAAAGAAAATTGGTCTAGGATGGTACCTGATTGGACCTGTATGAGATACTAGGTACAGTTTTACTCAACTTTTATGTGATTTCCACGTGTCTATGGGATTCGGGAGAAATGCAGTTGTATTTCTGGTATCAGAATAAGGCAAAAGGTAAAGAGAAGAAGAGCAAATTGCACAATAGACATCACAAAAGGAACTTGAGACTGATACTCGCAGGCGCATATGGGAAGGAAAATCCTATCATATCAATCGGAAGGCTTTGAAGAGGCAAGGGACTGGGTGAAAATGTAGTTCGGGGTTCTTTTGCCCTATCTAATCGAAGTGGAGTTGCGGAAAGACACTCATATCTAATCAAAGTAGAGTTGCGGGAAGGCACTCATATCTTATCATATCTTTCACTGAGACCGTGGCCTACGACTAGTACGTCACACTTGTTACCCTTGTCATATTATTCTATGGCTAAAATGGCTGCTACCTTGCTGACTCTTCACTTTCACCAACCCTTCTTGCGATTGCCATGCAAGCCCTCGAAGAAAGGGCCTTTCAGGTATCCGATTTTGTACGGAATCCGGGTTGGTATCCCTATCTAATCGTACACTCAGAGCCTGTGCTCTGAATGTTGATTAGATATGACCCTTCCGCAACTCCACTTCGATTAGATATTATGAGTGCCCCCCCCCCCACCCCGAACTACATTTTCAGCAGAGCTTGAAAAAGAAAAGGAGAAAGCTGAGAAAACTGCAATGGACGACATATTCGGATAGTGAGGGCGCACAGAGTTTCAGAACAGAAAAAAAGTTGCAAGGCCCACAGGAACTCTTGAGCTCAGGAATAGAAACCGTGCGAGAAAAAGGACTGAAAGTGAGCAAAGTGAAGAAACGACAGGAAAGAAAGTGGAGAAGGTTCAAGGAAACAGTGGTTAGAGAATGTGGAAGTGGAGTTGTTAAGTTAGTTGAGTACCTAAAAGAAGCGGAAATCGGGAAGCAAGCGAAGAAACAACGAGATCGGCGAAGGACAAAGAGCAGAAGGGAGGGTAAAGGATTAAGTATTCGGAGTTGATATTCTTGATAAGTCGGAAGAGGCGCGTGCATTCGACTACACTTGAAATTCTAATGGTCACTGGGCTAGAGTGTGATTCACATACACAACCGGTATAACAGTCAATCGATGTGGGAGGAATGACGGAAGGTGGCGTTGTTCTGAGCTTGCGTTTGACCTGGTCTTGGTCCCAAGGCCATCCTAACTGCTGAGCTCCAAAGATTGCCTAAATACGATTCGTCTGGGGAAGTAGCGATGCGATTGATCATTTCGTATATAAAGTTCTTATCTTTCTTAATTGCCACCGTTTTCACAGAAAAAGAAGATGGAAATTTTGTGAGGGTTTGGAACAAGTCTGGCTGAATCGGGAATGCGCAAGAAACGAAGAAGAAGCGTTAAAAACTGCGTCGCTCTCCAAAACGAGGCACGCCCATGTGTTGAACTACACTCCCAACGAAAGGAATCGCTTTCCGAAGCTTCTTGCTTTTGTTCCAGCACGTTGAAAAACGGAATGGAGTGTAATCTCCGCTTGAGCGGCGGGCACTCACGGTCTCGCATGTTCGGCTACGTATACTTATGGTTCCTAAGTGGCTGCACGCTTTAAAAACTGAGTAACGAAAGAGAGAAGGTTGAATGCGTCCAGTCTGAGCCTTTTACCCGGATCTTCCCTCATGAGACTGTTTTGGTGCAATTCAATCAATAACTATCTGCAATAATTACACCTTTCACAGTGGAGCCCATGTATTGGGTAAAAACACTAATCAAAATGCAGATAGCGGTTGTGAACGCGAAGTTTGCGCTCAATGCTAATATTCTGTCCGGAGGGCCAGAAGAGAGTCGTTTTCTGTTGCGGCGTTTATTTTCTGAGGTAACCGCTATTTTGTCCTTCCCTTTTCTTTTGATTCACGTAGTTTGAATGTTCCATAAATCAGGTGATGGATCAGGCCAAGGCGAAAGCTAAGCCTCGAATGACAGAGGAAGAACGAGCAGCCCTTGCGAAGAAATTGGACGATGATTTGGAACACTTTATGGAAGAAATGGCCGCGAAAAAGGTATTTAAATTGTATATGTAAGTACGATAAGACAATAGGGCGCAATGTGGCTCGAGGGGGCAGTCGCCGCGCGCGGCTCAGCGATGTAGTGTAACTCGAACATTCCAGCTTCTCACGCATGCTAAGTGACTGCCCTCACCCCCTGAATTGGCTACATTCCCCCTGGCTCACGAATTTCCTGTTGCCGCAACGCCGCGCGCGGCGGCTGCCCCCCCCCGACCCCCCCGCCCCCGAGCGGTTTACGGACTACTTGCACTTTCGTCCATGGTCCTGCCACGAATGGCGGAGAGCACAGACGATCAGAGAATGGCGCCTGGCTCGGCTCCAAATCCCAAGGAGGGAGGTGAGAGCCTTAGGACTAAGCCTTGTAAGGGGGAGGGAATCCGAGGTGGGTGAGCCAGTTGCATTGTGGCAAAAGTTTGAATGTGTGAGATCGCAGTGGTGATCAGCCGCTGATAAGATGAGAGAGCGCAGACGAAAGCGTCGAGTGAGGCAGCTTAAAGGGCCGAGTGGGCCCGGGGGGGGGGGGGGCGGACAGAGGGTGTGTTTCAGTAGCGACCCCCCTCCCGAGCACATTGCCCGACAGTAGTCCTAATGAACCCACTTTATCTTGTTGGACAGGTGCTAACTCCACTCGGGAGCCGTATTCAATCCTTTCCCTAAGCGGATGCGTCCCAATCCTCTGATTCAATCCTTCCCCACCTCTGAAGGAGACAAAAAAGGGTTGCGTCATATGACCGCCATACCTCTGTGTTACTGTCTGCCAGACACTTAAAGCAGCGCGACCCCTCAGGGAAGTGCTTCAAAGGTGGTCGCGCTGCTCTCATTGTGCGGCAGATAGAAACAGGACGGGTGAGTCATAGTGACGCCAACCCTTTTAGTCTCCCTCAAAGCTGGGGAAGGGATTGAATAGAGGAGGGAGGACGGCGCCGGAAGGAATTGAATCTGTCTTTGGCCGTGGTCCATAGGGACGGTAGACATGTGCTGAAGTAGTTGAGGAGGGGGGGGGGGCACGCGGCAGCGCGGCGTTCTGAACCTTGAGCCTTTAGGGCTCAGTCTGTGCTATCACTGTATTTCGAAGCTCCTTTGCAGAGGCTAACGGCCCTTGAGCCTCAGAGAGCGCACACTGCGAACAGACGCACGCACCGTCACTCGGACTCACGGCTCCCCCCACCCTCAAACCACATTAAGCACCGGAGAATAGCAGTAAAAGTGCCGGGATACAAGCAAAGTAGCAGTTGTCCAACTCTTGAAAGTCACATTACGTTCGATTTCGAAGATTATTTAATGCTATGTACAGGCTGCTGAACAGACAGAGAAAAAGCCTTTCGATTTTTGACGAATGGTGCAGAGACATCGATCAACATCCTGCTTTTATGAAAGATCTTGATGCTGGGCTGAGCGGTCAATATGCGGATACTTTGAGTGCATTACAGGTACGAACTTATCACGTGGAACGGTTTTTCGTCCAAAAATTTTTTGTTGAACGCTTCTTGGACCAGTTAAGTGGACGTTTCTTATGGGTGTGAGCTGATTTTTTTTTGGACTCAGGAGTTACTGAGAGTTTATTCTGGCGGCAAATATTTTTCGCCAGGGGTGGGGCTGCGTGAGAAACTCGAGATGCGTCTCTCTTTGGGCGGTGTGGCTGGCTGCTGACTGCGTGAGTGACAAGGCTGGTTATTCGAGGGGGGCGGGAAATAGAAACCAGGCAAACCCAAAGCGGCTTAAGGGGGAGGGTATGTGGTGTGGTGTGGGGGGGCCAGGCCTTGGACATGTTTGCGAGGCGGATGCTGTGAGCGCGCCTACACGAATAGGTGGGTTGGAGGGATTGTATTGCCAGGGCCATTGATGTGAAAGAAAAACCCCCAAGAGTCTCACGGGAACCCTCGAAGAATTTGTGGGGGGTGTGCGGTCATGGGGAGAGGGCGGGTGTGGGTGCCACGGACGGTTGACGTTCCGTAGGTAGGGGTCGGGAGTTAGGCGTGGCCGAGAGTGGGGTTCTTTGCCGAGGGCTCTTAATGTGCATGGGATGAAGGATGACATGGAAGATAAGCAGTTAAGTGCTGAACGGCATAAAGAGGAAGGCAATAAACACTTCAAGTTCAAAAAGTATCGCTGGGCCACCGATTGTTATTCTGAAGGTAAAATTTACGCTAGTGACTCTTCAAAATGCGAGAAAGAGTGAAGCGTTTGATAACGTCACAGAGATCTAAGCGTAAGCTCATCATCGATCATTTGAGGCATTAAGGATGCTAGTGCATGGATTTTGACGTTGAACTTGTCGGCGTCGTGGTGTAGCGGGGAGAGGAGGTGCGGCTGGCCGCGTCGAGAGAGAGCGAGCGAGTGGGCAAGCGCGAGGTGCGCAGGTGAGAAGGACTGTGCAATGGGCGCCGCCTCTAAAGGTGTTGACTTTGGCTAGGGAGATTTGGGAGAGGTTGTTTGAGAGGGAGTTGCGGTGGTGAGGGGTTGGTGGAGGGAGAGGAAAGACTCCGTGGCTAGTCGTGGAGAGTTTGGGTGGGTGACTGGGAGGGTCCAGGGGGCGGGGCAGAGTCGAGTGGCAGCGGGAGTGTGGTGTGGTTGAACTTGGGAGTGGGAGGGCAGCGAGCAGGTGGGCGGGGTGGTAGATCTGGATTGAGGCGGTGCCCAAGAAAACTTGTGCATTTTACCAAGGAAACTGAAGAAGAAGGTGAGGTCAACTGCGGTTTGTTAGAACACATTTGAGGACGTGAAAATTTAGCTAATTATTGAGCTTTTCACGTTCTTTCGATCTGAAGAATATGCATATTTTTAAATATTTCGTACACAACTTCATATCTTTCTCTTCTGTCCCTATATTATCCTGCACTTTCCACCGAATCTTTGTTAGATTAGTTTGCCTTAGAGGCACTTTCTATCTGTCTCTTTTTTGTCATTGCAGTCTTTTTAGGTAACGTTACCGATGTAGAGAAGAAACAGCTCGACGCTCTAGAGCAGGTCAAAGAAAAAGCCGTTAATGCGGTATTGGTGGAGGAACGCAACAAACGAAAAGCTCGTGCAGAAGTAAGTAGCTGTGAGCAACTGTCTAGAATTTAAAAATTGTTTATCTATTCAAATATTGTAATAATTGAGTAGATTTTAGGAAAAGAAGGATTTAGAAGAAAAACGACGCCTATTAAAAGCTTTGTCTGATCGAAAACTCAATTTTCGACCTCGTCTTCCGTTTAGCCGTCCTGAACTTATGGATTGGTCATTACTAGAGGTTAGCCTTGCGCAAACCTCAGAGGTAAGAATTTTATTCGAACTATTGGGGTTCTCGAATGTTTACAGTATTGTTCTTTCAGCGCTATCGTGTATCTTTTAATCAAGATGGCAATCTACAGTGGCCCTTCTTAATACAGTATCCGCAGGTTCGTGATCTGTACTGTTTTGTCGAGTTTATCTTGGAAGTTATGTCACTCAACTGCTTTTATCCTTTTATTATCTTTGTTTTATTGTTTTTTTTTTGGAAAGAGAATCAGTTAGATTTTCGACGGAAGTCGAACTTTTTTTTCGAAACAGTTATTTATGAGGCCGGTGCCAGGCTTTGCGAGTGCAGCGGATCGCGGGGTATGCGCAACACCAGCGCGTCGAGGGTGAGAAAGTGGATAGGGTCCTCCTCATTCGCATGTTGACCCTCCTGGCCTCAAAAGGACATGAGTGTCTAAGAAAGTTGGGTGGAGAGGTAGTCTCACGAATTTCGAATCAACGGTGCATCATTTGAGCTGCTTGCGCATCGTCTGAACCGTTGAGTCTGACACCAGTCTGATGGTCCTTTTGCTGTTATAGCAACATATCTTATACCTTCCCGAATTTTTTAGGCTGGACAAGTCGAC